TTTAAATATATAAAATATATAAAATTTCAGAGAGGATGTTACTAATGAGCTTATTCTAATGCTATGATACTATGACACATATGAAACAAAAACAAACATGCAAAGTCTAAAATCAACATTATGTGTAGTTCCACATTTCATTAGGCTAAAATAGGTCTCATGTGTAGGTCATGTTCTAAGCCACAATGCGTGGAAATACCAAATAATTATGAGGAGTCTGAAAATTTCTTCTGAAACTAACTACTAGGGTTAAGACAAAAAAGAAAAAAAAAAGTATAACAGCAGATGAACTTCCAATATTTAGTTTATTTTTAATACTCATATCCCTACTCTCTCTCTCTCTCTCTCTCTCTCTCTCTCTCTCTCTTCTTTTTTTAGTTATTAATAGTCCCTTATTTATTTATTTATTTATATGCGATACTGAGAATAAAACCCAGTGCCTCACACATTCCAGGCAAGTTCGCTATCGCTGAGCCACAATCCCAACCCCCTATTTTCTCTTATGCTATAGCTTTGCCCTAACAATGTTCCAGTCTCTATCTTTAAAAATAAACACATAAAATAAAAATGCTACTTGTTCTTGTTTCCCCCCTTTTACCTCATTCCATTTTTCTCCTTCTCTTCATCAACAAACCTCCCAAAAATACAGTTAAGTGTATTTAAGTGTATATGGAGTGCATGCTTCTGAGCTTCACCACTTGCTCACTCACTTAGTCCTGGAAACCTGGTTTTTTCTCCTAGGACTCAATGAAAGGTCTCCTTCAGAGCTTGATAATATATTGTAAAATAAAGGCATCAGCTCTAACCCCACCCCATGTATCCACACAGTTCCAGAGCCATTATGTTTTTCATATTTTTATTTGTGTATCATGCTCCTCATTTTTTTGAAACAGGTCTCTTTCTACCAAAATTCCATCCTCTGGCCCTTGGGTATTGTTTTATTTGCTATCCCTCAACCATCTACATGCCTTCATATACCTTACTTGAACCTGACATTCAGAGATCCAAAATAAATATGTATAAAAAATAAAAGCAGTGAATTGTAAACAATAGGGATATCTAAAACAAACAATCCTTAATTATACTGAAATCCTGAAAAAAATATTATGTATGGCACTATTAAAATAACATATGCTAAAGTGCTTAACAATATGGAAAATGCTTATTTTATAATGTCAGTTTTAAACAAAACATGTTAAAATACGTGTTTGCAATTTAGTTTCAACTATGTAAAGAAATGATTCAGAGGAGACTAGAAAGCTACACTCCAAAATATTAATAGTGATAACCACTGATGGGTAACATTTTTCCTTCTGGGTAATTTTATGCATTTTCCAAATTTTCTATACTGATCTTGTTATAATTTTAGACTCAGTAAAAAAGTGAGTTCAACATCATATTGCTAGGATGAATTATGGCTCAATGGTAGAGAGTGCTTGCCTAGCATGTGTAAGGCACTGGGTTAGGATCCTCAGCACAACAGATAAATAAATAAATAAAATTGAGGTATTGTGTCCATCTACATCTAAAAAAATTTAAAAGTTCATATTGGCTACAGAAGTTGAAA